TAAAATAGTCAGGTTAAAGACATGAGAAAAGACAGGAAATTAAATTTCTTCTGTTTTGTTTTCAGAGAACTTTGCAACTGTAACAATTCTCTAAGCGATAGAAATGGTGAAAAATTCGTCAATAGTAAATTCACCGATGAATAATCATAGAAACGTTCGATTTATTTGCATCAAATTGAATTACAGGAAACACCAGTATTACCTGGGTTGCTTCGGTTTCATCGCCTATGTTATGGCGACGTCCTTTCATTTAACCTAGCTGGGCGTCTACTATAGCGAATTTATTAGCAAAATTGTCACGCAGACCAATTTGCTTGTGTCAAGAGTTCGAACCTCATGGGTATCCAAATATTGTGACCGTATGTTAGACTAATCTATGCTGAGTAATAATTTTTCTATTCTCGATATTGCTTTGTTTTTTTCCTTATGCTTTCTGCAAGTTCCTCACGTTAAAATATTTTCGCATCCTCTCGTTCACGTTATACATACATAAATACACACACACACACACACACACACACACACACACACACACACACACACACACACACATATATATATATATATATATATATATATATATATAAAATTACTTATTTCTTCTTCTTTGCTTTTATTGTCTCAATTTTTTCCGGTAATTGTTTCATTTTCCCATTATGTCTCAAAGTTATTCACACTTTATTCCATTACAATATATAATTGCATAAAGTATGGTATTTATTTACAAATACCATAAAAATAATAGCATTTACTTAGATCATCATCATAATGATCATTATTATCATCAGCACCGTGAATATATGTGGTTGTATGGCAGTTGTGCATCTGAGCAACTGTACAGTTCCTTCCAAACATGCATAACCTGTCATGCGAAAGTAAGACTAGCGGCATCCTTCTTTTTGTTTTTTCAAGTCAAACCACAGTCTTTATAGGTTTGTCTTTCTTCAAGAAAACGTGGCCGTTGATTCCATCGGAAGAACTTTCTGCACTCTCTGTTAATTCTGTATGAGAAACTCTCATGCATGCAGTACTAGATGCCACATTCTTTTAGTTTTTTCTATCTACTTGCAGTTGAAGCATCCTAGAAATGACAAAAATAAAAACAAATATCCGGAGGTCAAAAGCCGTATGCATGGAGGTTGTTGGTCATACACCTGACCTTCACACACCAAAGTGAACGTGAATATCGCCTGTATTGCGGGACGTGACACAGGAGACTTTTAAAGAGTGCCTATGTGCGTGCACATTGACCGGGACAGAAAATAGTATGGTCTCCGCAACCACTATCTCGCTGGTGTTGATATTTCACCGATCCTTCCTCTTTGGTGCAGTGAGTGAGGTGCTTCCATAGTATTTGAATCCGGGAGCCCTGACCTTCGATGTTTTTCTTTTGTTTTTGTTTTTTTTTTTTTTGGCGTGATCTATTCGAAGACAGACACACGGCTCAGGGGTAATTCGATTTTTCGTCTCAGCCCGATGGCTGAGAACAGGAAAACCGTTTGTCTTCTGATTCGAAGCACTCTGCTTCTATATAAGTTGTAAATCAATGACTTTCTCTATATAAAGCAAAAAGTCACACTATTTTCGTCATCTGTCGCTTATTTTCAGGAGTTGAATCGCCACTTTATTTAACACACTACAAAAAGGCGAAATTAATTTTCCTGGTTTTAGCTGTCATTGATAAGTGCATGTTTCCAAAACTCTTGAATACCATATTGACTATTCGTTTGCCTTGATTCATTTTGACCAATGAAATTGAATATAATCCATTTTCTATAAATATTTCAATAAGATGGGGTCTGCCTAAAACAAGTCATTTTAACAAATGCCTCATAGCGATGTCATGCAAAATACATATAATCACGTCACAGCTAAAATTCTCTCTAAATTTTCGTCATTGTTCACATGTTGAGTTCATGGCAGTCACAACATTCTTCTGTAGAATACTACATATTAAGTAAGACAAAATTTAACGTATGGCCCTTCTTGTTAATCTTTATAATTTTGGCGAGGAGTGGTTGCTTTTATATTTCTGAAGGGATATGTCCAAATTAATTATAGGTAGCATATTTTCTTCATTTTCTTCAAGTTGGAAGGTTATGGTATTTCTGGACGAATTATCGAACTTATCCAACATTTCTTATCAATAGCAACGTTTCTAGATGTTTCTACATCCATGCAGTTGTTCCTCAGGGGTATATTCTACACCGTTTCTAATTTTCATAAACAACATTCCTGATGTCATCGATTTTCATCTCTTTGTCTATGCTGATGGTACATTTATTTACTCTTGTCTTTTTAGTAAGTCTGATCTGTTTTATGAGGACAAATCTTTTTTAAACCGAGGCAAGGAATAGCTTGTCAATTTTACGTCATCCAAACCGAAACTGCTCTCTTGTATTACTTTTTGCCTTTTATCAGCATTGATTAATGCTAACCTCCAGTGTCTCATCTTGCATTTCCGGATTAATGTTTTACACAGGGATGAAGAAAACAGATTATGCTGAATCAGTTGCTAACTTTGCTGTTAGAAACATTCGTTCATTGTGTCGTACAAGAATCTTTCCTTGCCAGAAGCAATCTTGGATATACATAAATCTACCATTCGTCCTTGCCTTGAATATTGTTGTCACATCTGGTTTGTTAGTTCTGCTATATATTTAGAGATTGTTGAAGAAATCCAAAGAAGAATCTGCAATGTTATTGGTCTTGACCAGAAACTTCGGTCTCATTTACTTTCTCACTGACCTAAGTTGTCTTCCCTGTTCCTTTTCTATGCATACTTTCATGGTAATTATTCTGAGCGACTTTAATGATTTTAACTGTAGTAATAGATTGCCGGCAAGTTCCACTTTTTTACAGTTTAAACGACTAGATTTAACCTTAAGTTCTATGTCAACAGTTTCTCCTCTTTCTCATTCGTAGAATTCTCTTCCGACTTCTCGCTTTCCAGGCAACTTTTAACATCAAAAATTTAAATGAAATGTCAATAATTAACTTCTGTTTTCTTAATCCCTGCGCTTGTTAGGGGCTCTTTAAAAAAAATTATCTTTCTCATATTTTCTAACAAACAGTATCTACTTGCGTCTTAATGGATTTATTTCCTTGCTTGGTGTGAAATGATTAAAATAACTGATTCATTATTGGTTAGTGTGTCGGCTAAGTTAATAAGAAAGCTGTTGAAACAAGTGAAGACGTTCGTGTGCACAAGCTCAGGATTCCATTGTCTAATTTGCCTTCAGTGCGAAATCTGCTCTGTTTTATCCACGAATAGATAAAAAAAAATCGGAGAAATTAACAAAGAAATTTATCTATGTGCAAATAAATAAAGTTTTTAATAACATTCACTACTTGAAACAAATAAATTATGTGTTAAAATTATATAAATAATCGAATGCAACGATTGATAAGTTGACTTGTCTCGGGAAAAAAAAAACTATTTGGATATTACAATTAGAAGGTCTTTAGAAAAGACTAGCAGCATGGCCCGGCGTTGCCCGTGCATGGTTCAAAAATCGTACGACTCATACAGCAATCGCTATCACTTGACTTAAAATATGTTTGCCCTTCCTTGCTTTAAAGGAGTGCCCTTTGCCGTGCTGATGTTGCTACATGCCTTACTTCTTGCCTATCTCACACTGCGAATTTTTTTTAGCTCTATACTAAACATTAAATCTGTTGCGAAAATAGAACTAAACAAAATGAACACAAAACGATCAGCTTTAAAAAAAGGACTCGTAACTGGAAAAAGCAAATGAAACAAGAATGTTAACAAGAAATACTTTTTCACACCCAAACCCAGTTCTGCGGAATCAGAATTAACGTCGAGTTTAAGCAAGCGAATGAGCCAATTGGATTAAAGTGTCATGCAGATTCAAATTTTTCCCACTTGTGACGAATGCAGCTATCAATTTTTTTTGCATGATAGCATGCTAGTTAACATTCGTGTCAGACAACTGTTGGCTCTCACTCTGGCCAGTACAACATGGCCGCAAACCACATGAAAACTGCCGTAGAAGCATGAAAAAATCGATTATTTCCACTATCGATGGGAGTTGGGAAATGCAACTTCGGTCTTGGCCTTCCCGCTAACTTGGAGCATGTAAATTTTTGTGCAAATGCGTCGAAAATTGCGGCTGTACATTCGTTACGCACACACACACTAACACACATACAAACACACACAAACACACACATTCTGCCTTTTATTGATAGAGATACGTTTTTGCAAGAGTTTACTTAGTATAAACTATTTGTAAATAGTTGATGTAAATGTTGGAATAGTTTGACGGCCTTGTACATGGCTATTTTTTCTTTCCTCAAAAGTCTGTGATTAAAGTCCCACGTGAAGATGGGACGAGAGAACGAAACTTAATTTTGCCATTTCGGGACGCCTCAAGCATCTCTGATTAAATCTAGATCTCCCACTTTTAGTAGAATTGGAGCCATTTATAACAGGAAGGATGACACTCTGCATCTGTGCTGAGTTAATTTCCGGCTCAAAGCTAAAGTGATTGAAAAGAGCCTCTCTGTTGCGGTAGGCTGAGATATCATTCGTGTTTAATAATAATAAAAAAGCGACTCATAGAAACAGCTCTGGAATTTGGCGGGCTTGATTCTGATTGGTAGGAAACGCCTCCTTTTCAATCATGTGATGTTATCTTGACTACGTTGGTGTGTTTCGAAATTTGTCAATCGCAGCAGCCTACAGTTTCACGGGAGATTGTAATTGGTACGTGACTAAAATCGCAAATTAATTGCATATAGAAAAACGTGTTTGCAATTCTCTCCTCTTTTTCTTCTATACAGAATTAAAGTAAACCATTGTTAAATATAAACTCTCTTTTATTATATATCCTACGTTCTGTCCTGCTTTACGGACAATCGTAAAACAAGGAAATTAAGGCAAGATTAGCATGAAATGAATTTGGTAATGTAAATGCAAAGAAGATTGTAATTAGCGAAAAATGGATCTCCTACAGCTTACAGGCACAATATATTTAAGCACCTGTTCCCGTATGATCACCGAAGTTAAGCATATTCGAGCCTGGTCAGTAATTAAATGGATGACCACTTGAGAATACGACGTGCCGTATGCTTGGATGTGCGGGTGGTGTAATGTATAACGGCTCGGAATTGTTAATCCGGGAGCTGAATTCCAATTTCAGCCTTTGAACAAACGCTTACGATGAAAACCAATATGTATTTTATACTTACTTGGAAAAATGTGATTTTTACCATTTCTAATCTATTTATACCCAAGTACTGACATATTAATACATTCTAGACAACATATTTTGCTATTTTTTATTTTTGTCATTTCATCCCAAGCAAGGCAATAAAGCCAATAAAAGGCAAAGTGGTTGCCGAGTTTTAGAGAAATATGAGTAAATATACGATTACGGTGGTTGGGGATAATAAAAGAACAAGTAATAACAGGAGAGAAAAAAACGATTTAAGTTCCATATAAATTATTGAAGATCAAAGTTAAGAGATGCAAGAAGCCTGAAGAGAGTTCTATAAGTGTGATAGAAAAAATATTAGCATAGAAGTTACGGTTATATCCATTTTAACTGTAAAATGATGAGACCTTGCCGCCAAACTAGTACTGCGTTTAAATTCATAAAGTTTAGGTACCACAGACGAAAGTTCGTCAGAACAATTACCATGAAAGTATTTATAGAAAAGACACAGGGAAGTTACTTTACTGGGGTGGGAACTAAAGCCGAAATGTCTTGTTATGACCAATATCATTGCATAATTCCTCTTTGGAGTTTATCAAAACTCTCTAAATATATTGCAGGACCACAAGCGTTGATGTGGTAATAATATTCAAAGAAAAACAAATGGTAGTCTTATAAATATATCCGATAGATTTCTGCTGAGAAAATTGTCTTAGTGTTGGAGGCGTTAAAATTGACCAGGCACTCCTTGCTCCGTTTAACAAAATATGGTAGGTCATTGTTTGAGATAATCTGCTTATTTGACCTGATCAAACAGATTTGACTTACTATTAAAGCAGGAGTAAATAGTTCTGTTATCATCATATATACCGAGCTGAGAAGTGATGACAACAGAAAAGTTATTTATTAAAATTAGAAACAACATATGTTCATGGTTTTAGTCCTGGGGAATACCTTTATTACTGCAAAAAGATTCAGAAGATTGGTTATTCAAGACAACTTTCATTTCACGATTTGATAACAAAGGCAGAATCAGTTAAAATTTTCACCCAGAAATATCTTGTATAGAAAACCGGTATGCCAAACCCTCAAGAGAGGCAAGACAGCAGCCCGAGCTTTACCATTCTTGTGAAAAGTTTGATAGATATCTTCAGCAAAAATAAAATAATACATCAGCAGTTGACCTAGAGAAATAAAAGCCATATTGCTTATCTGTAAAAAAAAAGACCATGCGAGGTGAGATGCCTAACAAGATCAGAGTTAATTTGAGCCTCTAGTATTTTTCCAAAAAACGATAAATAGATAGAAGGATCAGCTGATTCGCCTGAGTTCTTAAAGATTGGAACTGCAGTAAATAAAAAGAAGGCAAGCATGAAGCAAAGAAGGCATTTATAGTAGAGGACGCAATTAAGAAGCACATTTCATAAGAGATATATTGCAGAGATATTATGCTTTCTGGTCATCCAGTTTAGATATAATAGCAGAAAACATGAATGGAAATATATGCATATCACACAATATGAAAATTTAGATGTCTGTGTCATATTTTCCTCGCCCGATGCTATACTATATAGATAGATAAATCTGTGCCTACTTGAATTGACGTCCCCATTCCCCTGCTCACACCAAAAGTTTTCTTCTGAGAATTCTGTCGTATAGCGAAAGTTATTAATCAAAAATAAATTGTATTGCCAGTCAAAATTAAAAAATGCATTGTTTCTTATATTTGCTTATTAATTTAGCATGAAGTCAGATGTATTTATTGTCTGGTGAGTATCGAAACTTTTATATTGATATCCATAATATCCGTTGATGGTCATTAACGTTTCACTTTTACACTGTAGATGATTAAATTACGCTTAGTCAAAAGATTGGATTAATTTTACTTTTTTAACTGAAGAAAATTACACGGTTAACCATCACCGGTTGTACTGAGGGATAGAGGAAGACTGCGATCCACTTAGCTGATGTGATGCTGGAAATTTGATACAGAACGGGAGACGAGCCTTAGCAAACGAATAAAACTGCTATGTGATATAACGGATAGGAACATTTGGAGAGCCATGATCGCGTGTGCTCTGATGGGACGCTGCATATAGAAAAGTCTTGTTTAACTAAAAGGTGATTGCTGATAAATTGAGGTTTAAAAAACGTTAGCAATTCTAAACTTTTTATACTCGTGGCATATGCTTTTTATTCATTTCTATCGAACCACTGGTATCTTTTATTTCTTGTTTAAGCGTCTTTCAGTTTTGAACTCATACAGAATCTCGTTATTTGTTCGGCTTTGCTTCCTAATTTTATCTTGGATCTTTTCCAATAATTCTCCATTATTTATAACCGATTCTGAGGACTCTTTGTTCATGTTTTTATTTTACACTTTTCATTTCCGTCTTCCATACCATTTCTTTCCCTTTACTAAAATTACTTTTTATTGAATCTTTCTCCTCAGACAAGCTGATGAACTCGCCTTTTATCCCTTCTGTTCTTTTCCGCTTCAGAAATAATTTACGCTTTTTTCTTCATTTATTTTGAGTCTTAGTCCGCGCATTTATCAACAATAACCCTTTTTCCCGCGTCACACAATTTATCACTCTCAGTAAAAAAAAGAACATCGTAAAAAAAGACACCCAGAATAACCCCTTCATAACAAATCTGCTTTGAACAGTAGCTTCGACTATCGAATTAATTTCACAGTTTGCCTCGACACCTGCACACTAATAATTAATAGTCAAAACGACACCCGAAGGCAGTATTTGGATTCCATAAATTTATTAATAAAAAAATAAAGTAACGAACTGAAATCATCAACTACAAACAAAAATCGACGACTACCATGAAATATGAATCAAAAGTATTCCAGCAAATCTCTCTTAAATAAGTCGGTGTTCAGAAAGATACTGTTTCTTTAAAACTGGAAAGGAACTTGTTAGTAATACGATTTTCATGAATTTTCAATCGTTACGGTCAGTTTAGGAATTAAAATGGGTAACGCTTAACAATTTTACTTACTGAAATATCACTTAGTTTTGTAATACTTTTAGTGTTTTTAAATAATATGTCTATTGCTTCAAAGCGTAAAAAAAGTTCTTACTTTACACAAAGGAATATTTATTTTGCAACGGTTTAGATCCTTGTCAGAAAATTTAGTTTAGCATTGAATCAGATACATTTAAAACCATCTATCAGTTTTCGAACATTAATCACTTTGGCACAAAGTGTAGGCAAATGTTGAAATAATGATTACTCACAATGGAAAAGCTAACGGATAATAGGGACCAAAATCCAGCTAAGAAATGTTATGTTTCATTATCAAGAAGTCTCATTCGCAACAAAATGAATGCAATGTCATTAGAATGCCCGACATTTTGAGAGAGAAGAAACTGCTAAGTTAGTAGATTTGTAAATACAACAGTTCTGTAACTTCCCAAGAAGAGACAGCGAACAGCTGATACCGCTATTGTCATTGTTGACAAGGAAAATGTATTTGAATATCAAGCATGTATACACATTTGTTTATATGACGAATATGAATGATATATACTTTGAACACTTGCAGTCGGTGCAAGTCTAAATAAAATTTACGAAGATTCATTAAGCATATCACTCACCTGATATATGACTGCCTGTCTAATAACTAACCGTTCAAAATTATTTTTCGAACACTTTCAGCACATTGTGGCTGTGCCAATATTTAATGTCAATAGTGTTCGGAAAATAATACATTACTATAAAACTTTACATAAAACCCCATATATTAAGTTTAAAAACAATCGTCCTTGATAATGGCTATAAGAATAGCCGAATGCGCTCGGATATACAGAACATTTGGACCGTTTTGACACTATTTGCGTCCAGAAACGACACATATACGTACAGAGGAAAATCAATTGAAAATCATATTAAATCGGTCTTCTTTAACGAAAGATATATATATATAATAAAAAGGCTTAAACACTAATATTCCATGGTCATAATTTATTCCATTGGAATCGTAAATACGATCCAAATTATCAGACCTACAAATTCAAAAAGAAAACAGAAAAAACAACTCCGGAAATAAAATCAGAATTTAGAGATAGTCTAGAGAAGGAGGGAGATTAAACCTTAACAGAGAGAATTTTAGGAGAGATGAGTGGAAGGGGTTTAAGTAAGAGAAATATGAATGTTGTCGGATGTCTAATGCATAAAGAAAATTTCGTGGTGACATACACACACCATAGACGATTTAATGTCAGAATAAGAGGGAGGGAAAGACGAGGTGGGGGAGAGAAATGGGGCGAAAGAAAGTAAAATTGAACTACATTTACTGAAAGGGCCGCTGTGTAATTGAGAAAATTTGACAAATTTAATATCGACTACAGGTTACAAATCAAATATAAACATATAAAAAATAAATACAACAATTATCTAATCTAGCAAGGACCTATATTTTTATGTTCAAAAGCACATGCGAATACACAATAACATATACACGTATATACATACACATAGGCGTGTACCCACATACACACATACATATACCCATGTACACACATATATAAATATATCCACACATACAAATATCCATCTATATCTATATACACATTTTTTTTTATATATATATATATATATATATATATATATATATATATATATATATATATATATATATATATATATATACATGCACACATCCATACACATTGAGTTCTACCTGGATTCTATCCTCTCGGAATTTTTATTAAAAAAATATACATATATGTGTATGCACCTATGTATATATATCTATATATTTTGCATATGTATGTGTATATTTACCACACTAATATCTATTATTATCTATTTATATATATATATATATATATATATATATATATATATATATATATATATATATATATTCATTAACTGTATTTTTCTAAGAAATGTATA